TTCACCTGCAGCAAGTAAAACAGGAGCCGATGAGCTGCTCCAGGCCAGCCCATCCCGCTCCGCTCCCTCCCCAGCGCCGGCACCCGGCATTCAGCACATCCATGAGCCCTGGGCCAGCGTGGGGCAGCAGTCAGGTGGGATTTGGTTCAAACTCTCCGTCTGTCAGGGCCCGCTGTGATTGTTTTAATGGCTTATTTCAGCTCGACCTAAATAAGCAATTAAGGTCAGAGGGCAAAGCTTTGCAACATCCATTCTCCCAAAAAGCGGTAGACGGCTCCGTCCTGACGGCCGCATCCCCTCTCCCGGCAGCCGTCCCCGCCGCCGCCGCCTCGGCCCCCCCTGCTTTCGCCGTCTGCGGCCTCGGCCTCCTGGGCATCTCCGTCAGCACCGACTACTGGCTCTACCTGGAGGAGGGCATCGTCCAGCCCCAAAACCAGACGGTGGAAATCAAAGTGTCGCTGCACTCGGGGCTCTGGAGGGTCTGCTTTCTGGCAGGTATGGCCTCCCTCTCAAAAATGTCCCCGTAAGGTGACGTTTGCTGCGTGTCAGCATCATACCATGGGAAAGGGCTGGGGAAAATAGGATTTTTAGAGGCTGTGCCCATCTTTGCTTCCAAACTTAGGCACAACCTGAGTAATGCCGTCACCCCATGCCAAGCTTTAACAGTCAGATGGATAAACGTGCCTTTGCACGCAGGCTTTGGGTGAGTTCACTGCTGCCATGCCAGACCCCGCTGCCCCCCGTCGCGCTCCGTCCCAGTGCCGCGGCCACGGTGCCTTGGGCAGCAGCTCAAAACTTTCCATTTTGTCCCTGCAACATTTAGATTCAGGTCAGCTGGACCGTTCCCTCCGTCCACGCCAAGTTTGATGAAGCCAAGTCGCTGCAGGGACAGAGTTGAATAAAACCCAAGGGAATGGGAATCTCAGTGAATGATCTGAAATGTCACAAAGTTTCAACTGCTGCTTTGAAAAAGTTGGGGGAGTGAGGAGCTCTGATATTGCCCCTGGGGTGACCTTAAACCCTCTGGCTTCAGGGTTCACATTTTTGTATAAAAGGGAATCCTTTTGCGCAAGAGAGACGGTAGTTAAGAGGTGGCTTTCTTCAGCCCCAAACGCTGACACCTGAGATAGAAGCAGCACTAAAAAGCAAGATTGTTTTTATGCATGCACTGAAATTAATTTTAAAGCCACTCTCTCCCCCACCAAAAACAGACAAACGCACTGCAGGTGACTTGGTCTGTGTCTGCTGCAGGTGAAGAGCGTGGCCGGTGCTTCACTATCGAATACGTCATGCCCATGAACATCCAGCTGACGTCTGAATCCACAGTCAACGTCCTGAGTAAGTGGTTCGGTGGGGTCTTACTCTTTGTGTCCTGCAAAGCACCGGAGGGTCACTAGGGATCTCCCCAAGAAATCCTTTTTGTGTCCTTGATGAAGAAGCTCCTAGTTCCTTGACAGTGCTACCGTGCAAGGACGCAACTACATTTTTTACCATGTGAAATTACCCAATATGCTCCTAAGCTTCTGGGGACATCCCTTTCTAACAGCAGGATGCTCACAGAGTCTCTAAGCTGTACAATTACTTGTCACTGACTATTCAGCACTGATGTTTATGGAAGTGTTTGGCTTTATAGTCTCCTCTCTGTAATTTGCAGCTGTATTTATTCTGTAGCAGTCGATTTTACACATTACATAGTGGGATGAATTAAGGATGGAGTGTCACAGCTCTCACGATGAATTCTGCAGTCATTTCTGATTTAATAAATAGAAGTGTTCAGCAAACAGTTTTGCAGCGAAGCTAGAGAAAAATGCAGGTTCCAATGGTTTTTTCCTACCTAACACTTCACATAGGAACCCTCAGAAATGCAAACATTAGCAGACGTTTCCGCAGCCAGACAGTCACTTCTTCACTCAGCTCATTAGCAAAGAGGGGAACCCCTGCCAGGGGCTGGGGAGCAGCGCAGGGGCAGCCACATTAACCAGGAGCGAGGAAGGACACAACGTGGTCGGAGAGCAGCAGGGCCACAGCCGTGCCACCCAGCCGAGCCCATTTCTCACACCGTGTGGGGAGGATTGACCCGTTCTTGCTTTCCTCTGCTCCTCTCCCACCAGAGATGATCCGCTCTGCCACCCCCTTCCCTCTGGTCAGCCTCTTCTTCATGTTCATCGGCTTCATCTTGAGCAACATCGGCCACATTCGGCCTCACAGGACCATCCTCGCCTTCGTCTCGGGGATATTCTTCATCCTGTCGGGTGAGTTTTGCTAGCCAGGTTTTCTCCTGAAAATCCTTGAGCATAGAGCACGTTTGCTTTTGTAGCTGCTGGTGCTCTCCTAACCCGCTGTGGTGGCTCCTTATTGGAATCATCACCCGTGGGGGCTCCCGGCTTGGCCCTGCAGCCTGCTCAGGCTTTGCAGGATGGAAAATAACCCGGTGCAAAACTCGTTTGTGGCAGTGGCGAGGAGATGTGGGGAAAGCACCCACCACCCGTGCAGGAGCAGGTGCTGGGGGAGAGGACACTTCTCATGGCACATCAGTCGCAGGAGAGATCTGAAACGTCAAACTGCTCAGCCGGGATGTTTCTACAAGAGACAAGTGAATGTTTTATTCATGGTGTTTTGCTAGTGTTAAACAAATAGCTGTGACAGCCAAGCTTTGAAGCCAGCCTCTACCCGGTGCACACGGACTTGCTTGAGCAGGTAACTGAGTGAAGTGAGAGGAGTGCCCCGGGTTAGCTCA